ATGGTTCAAAATTGGGAAAAGTATATGCCAGGGATGTGTCCTATCTCCATACCTTTTCAACCTGTATGCAGAACAGATTATCTGAGAGGCTGGGCTCTATGAGGAGAAGTGTGGCGTCAGGATTGGTGGAAGATCTATCAACAATCTGCGTTATGCAGATGACACAGCTCTGCTTGCTGAAACTGAGTAGGACCTTGCTGCAGAGGGTCAAGGACTGCTTAACATCAAGAAAACAAAGATTCTCACCACTGGACCAATTGTCAGCGTCAGGATGGATGGTGAAGAGGTTGAGATTGTTAACAACTTTAGTTGCCTTGGCTCCACAATCAAAACCCTTGGCACCAGTAGCCAAGAAATAAAAAAAACATATTGCAATGGGAAAGATGGCTGTTAGGGACCTCTCCAGGGTACTGAAGAGCAATGGTGTCACTCTGGAGAGTAAGGTGCGTCTGATACAGGCCATGGTCTTTTCTATCACTTGTTATGCATCAGACAGTTGGACAATGACTAAGGAGGATAGAAGGAGGATTGATGCCTTTGAGCTGTGGTGCTGGAGAAGAGTATTGAGGGTACCATGGACTGCTAGGTAAACAAATAGATTCATCCTGGAAAGGGTCATACCGGGCTGCTCCTTGGAGGCAAGGATTCTGGGGCTTTGTCTGACATACTTTGGACATGTTGTAAGGAGGGGCAGGTCCTTGGAGAAGGAAATCATGCTTGGGAGGTTGGAGGGACGGTGCCAGAGGGTAAGACTCTCTATGAGGTGTATTGATTCAGTGACTGGGGTAATCGGGATGGGTGTGTCAGAGGCAGTGTGATTGGCACAGGATAGAGTAGGGTTTAGGGCTGTTGTACGTAGGGTCACAATGAGTCGCAAGCGACTCAACAGCACATAACAACAACAACAACAACAGCAACATATTTGTATTGGTTTGCATACAATTATTTATATACATTGTGGTTTATGCACATACATTGTGTTTTATACAGGCATGCATTTTACATTATGAGTTTTCTATTTCACTGCAAAGGGTTTTTCCTTTTTTGTTTTTTTAAAAATTGGCTTTCTTACAAAGTTCCTGTACATGGTGTTTCACAGTATTCTTCATTCACATTATGTTTCATACAATCATTCATATGCATTATGTTTCATAAAATTAATTACCATTGGACATTGCCCATCATTACCCGTGTCCATCCCATTTCCTTCCCCTACTACCTCCACCTACCACACTGTGGAACCCTGTGGTTTCGTCCTTACCCATCTTCACTCCTCCACTCCCAGCCTTTCCCACCTTGAATTCCCATGCATATTTTAATAAAACTTCCAGTGGAAATTTACTCCTGATAATATAATGAAACCCCTAAGAAACACAATGATTTGATATGAAATAGTTCATGGGCATTGTTCTCCCAAATGGGGGAACATTTCAATCCTGTATGTAGGGGATGACCATCAATCAGGGACGTGCTAGAAGACAGCTAACAATAGTAGCAACAACCAGTGATGAGTAATTAAGTTGGAAAATGATGATCATTTAAAAACTAATCTTGCAAAAATGTTGTTTAGCTTATTTAATACTTAAGTAAATATTTAATACTTAATACAAAATGTTGGTTATTTATAATTAATGAATCACAAACTCAAAATAATCATGTTGTGTTGTTGCTAGTTGACATTGGAGCAATTATATTTCATAACATTTCAGGGGGAAAAAGTAAAACCTTGCCCTGCCTTGCACAATTTTTATCATATCCACTATATTCTATCCCATTGTTGTAATCACTGTGTCTGTCTAGATTGAAGGTATACACAGAGTCACTGTACCTGTTAAAATTGGATGACACAGAAGAATCATAAAACAACACATAACAAAGAGGGAATGGTGATGAAGGAGAAAATTCAAGCTGCTCTGAAGGAATTGGAAAAAAAAACAACAAGGCCCCAAGATTTGGTGGAATACTGATTGATGTATTTCAGCAAATAGATGCTGCTTTGGACATGCTTACCAGGTTGTGCCAAGAAACCTGACCAACTAGAAGAGATCCATATCTGTTCCATTCTAAAATATGATGATCTGACAGTGTTGAAAATTATGGAACAATATCACTAACACCACACGCAAGAAAAATCCTTCCAAAGATTGTCCAAAACCTACTGGAATACTACACTTACAGAGAACTACCAGAAGTACAAGCTGGGTTTAGAAGATGTCATATCACTAGAGACATCATTGCCAGTGTCAGATGGATCTTGTCTGAAAGCAGAGAGTACCAGAAGAATGCCTATCTGTGTTTCATTGACTATGCAAAGGCATATTTCTGTATAGATCATAGCAAATTTTGGCTAACCTTGAGAAGAATGGGCATCCTAGAATGCCTGATTGTGCTCATGGGAAACTTATCTTTGGACCAGGAGGAGGTAGTCATCAGAACAGAGCAAGGAAATGCTGCCTGGTTCAAAATCAGTAAGGAAGTATATCAGGAATGCCTCCTTTCTCCATACCTTTTCAATCTATGTGTGGAACAGATCATTCAGGATGCTGTTCTTTATGAGGAAGAATGTGGCATCAGAATTGGAGGAAGACTCATCAATAACTTGTGTTATTCAGATGAAACAACCTTGTTTCCTGAAGTAACAAACTTGTTTCCTGAAGAGGACCTGAAGCGCTTGCTGCAGGTGGTCAAAGACTGCAGACTTCTATATGGATTGAAGTTCAACATCAAGAAAACAAAGATTCTCACCACTTGGGCAGCACCATTATAGATAGAGAAGAGATTGAGATTGTTAACAATTTAAGCTTGGTCATATCCATAATCAATACTCTTGGCACCAGCAGTCAGGAAATCGAAAGAGGAATTGGATTGTGACCTCTCCAGAGTGCTGAAGAGTAAAGATGTTAGTCTAGAGACTAAGGTACACCAGACCTAGACCATGGTCTTTGCAATTACTTGCAATGCATCAGAGAGCTGGACGATGACTAAAGTTGACAGAAGAATTGATGCCTCTGAGTTGTGGTGCTGGAGAAAAATATTAAACATACCAGGGACTGCCAAGAAAACAAACAGTTCTGTCCTGGAAAGAGTGGAACCAAGTTTCTCTCCAGTGGCAAGGATTTTGGAGCTCTATCTCACATACTTCGACATCTTGCCTGGAAGGATCAGTCCTTGAAGAAGGATATCACGCTTCAAAGGATGGAGGGACAATGCAGGAGAGGAAGACCCTGGATGAGATGGATTGATACAATGCCTGAGGTAATAGGGGCAGGTTCTGGGAATCACAGTGAAACTGGCTCATTATAGGATAGGGTTCAGAGCTATTGTAACATAGGATGGCTATGAGTCACAAGCACATAACAACAACTTCCTTTCCCAGCATGAGTTCATACATTTTTGCCTTTCTTTTTGCCTTAAAGGCTTCTTCAATTTGACGTGCATGTTCATGGTATAAAATGTTCTTTGAACTTAAAAGAGAAAAGCAAAATGTTTAAATAAACTATGTTGAAATTGGTGTGCCTTTGATTTAAAAGTAATTGTTGTGTCTGGGCCATCTGTGTGTCCTGAGGCCTCCCCTCCCTGTCCAGAGCCTCATACAGAACATGCTCTTTAATTCTGCGTCCAGTGGCAGGCCCCAGGGCCAGGTGTCTCTTTGTAGAAGTGAACTCATTTCCAGGAACTTAGAGCACAGGAGCAGGCTGGGTAATTGTTCTAATTTGATGCTCAGGTTGAAGCTAAATCCATGAAGATTAGGTATAGCTCCTAAGGAAGGAAACCTCTGATATTAGAAGAGGCAAGGAGGTTAAGATTCCCAGTTCTTGTGTCTCCAGTGCTCTGGGCATCACTGATGTTACTATCTTATCTCCTGTAGTCATTTAGTATTGCCCTTTAGAAGAACAATGCAGGATGCAGGAGCTGTGGTACTCACCTCCTATGGGCATGGTTTCATCTAATCCTCAGGAGCACTGAGTCACAATTAAGAAATGGATATTTGACACTAACATAGATTAATGGAAAGGCAGTATAGAGTAAGAAATTGATAATACATTTTTAAATGTTATAAAATAAAAATGTATATGAATGAATGAAAAACCAACATGATTTGTGAATATTTGCAAACACTCAAACCACAATAAAAGAAAGGAAAAAGGAAAACATTTTATTTCACCACGTTATTTTAATAATTTTCTTTAGTATCATATAGATAGTTTTTCTTTGATCACAAAATAAAAAAAGACACTACACAGGGGAAAAAAAATCCCACAAACCCGGTAAAGAGTCTCTCACCTATTTTAAATATTTTAAAATATATTCATTATTTGTTAAAATAGGTATAAGAAAATTTGTCGTTTATCTAACAAAATCAGTCAAGACCACTTTACCCTTTCTTTGGGTAAGTCTCTACATGCAGAGATAGCATTGACCAATAAAAACTAGCTGACACTGGATTGACTGTGATTCAAGGTGACACTGTGTGTGTCAAAGTAGGGCCATGCCCCATTTACAGTTCAGTGGGGGAATTTTAAAGAAGACATTGCCAGACCTTTCTTCCTAGGTGTTTTTTGTGTGCCTTCACACCACCAACTTTTTGGTTAACAACTGCAAGTGTGAACAATTCACACTATACAGGGATTTCCAGATAGCACTGAAAATAACACGAGTAGAATAGTTAACCCGGGATGGGTGGCCAAGAATCCATGTATCCAGATGAAGCTACCAGAGCCATGGAGTCACCTCTGTCTCATGGTGACCATGTGTATTGGACTAGACTGGTAATCTGTAGGGTTTTCAATACCTGCTTTTCAAAAGTAGAGTATTTGTTTGGTCCTACACACCTTTCTTTGATGGTACTTCTGAGTGTTCTTGAACTTCTAGCCTTCCGGTAAGCAGTCAAGTATACCACCTGCACCACACTGTAAATCTGAGATGAAGGCGGTAGTTGTATAAAGGGGAAGTTTCAAATTCTATCTTAATATCATGGTTTTTTATGTTTTAAATAATAGGTGGCCCTGGAAGTGGAAAGGGCACTCAAAGTTTGAAAATCGCAGAACGTTATGGATTCCAGTACATTTCCGTGGGAGAATTATTAAGGAAGAAGATCCACAGTACCAGCAGTAATAGGAAATGGAGTCTCATCGCCAAAATAATCACGACCGGAGAACTGGCCCCACAGGTACTGCTGTCTGCTTCCTTCTAATCATCAAATATTTTATACCAGTTCTAAGTGAACCAGGCTTAACTGTGTTTTTTTCCTCACTCTTTCTCTTTGTAAAAGGAAACAACAATTACAGAAATAAAACAGAAATTGATGCAAATACCTGACGAAGAGGGCATTGTTATTGATGGATTTCCAAGAGATGTTGCTCAGGCCCTATCTTTTGAAGACCAAGTAAGAAAGTTTCCTTATATTTTAAATGACCTACTTTTCATACAAACTTTGTGGGTTGTTTTTTTAAAAAAAAAGATTTCTTGGAAGACTTGCTTTTATTTTTGATGAATGCTGATCTGGCAACATAGACAAGTATTTCAGATATATCAGTGTGAGTTGGCAGAAGGTCATTTCCTTGGCATATATGTTTAGACACTGAAGTCAGTGTCTGCCAAAAAGAAAAAAATGAAAGCTAGCAGTAAAACTCATTATTTTATTAAAAGGACAAATGTCCAAGATTGTTTTTGAACATTGCTGTTGAAAATGAGCAAATCTCCTGTAAAGGACAGCTAGAAAGTACTAAAAAGCAAAGAGAGACGTTGAAAGACAAATGCTATATGGTGCCACTGTTGTAGAATGAGGCTGGCATTGGGGTAGGGGTAAGACTGAGAAAAACTGGATGGAATATGTTTACGGCATTGAAGTCTATGGGCGAGAGAATAGTCTAAAAGTATTATATTTTAGGGCATTATTTTTATCATAGGAGTATGCAATGAGGGTTGCAGAGTGGATTATATTTGGGGGTAGGGGGTGGGGTTTGGGGAGGTGAGGGGGGGATTGTGTACCAGTGAGGGCGTTTTTCTTTTGCTTTTCAAGGAGAGGAGCAAAAGGAGGGGGGAGGGGGGGTTTGTGCGGGGAGAAGGGTGCAACAATGAATGAATGGAATCCCAAAATCTCTGTAGATGTTCATTGAAATGAAAAATAAACAACCGAAATTAAATAAATAAATAAACAAGACTAAGGTTATACACGCCTCATGCGTGGGATTTTCAGTTGCTTCATATGCACGTGCTGCCTTTGAATCGTGGTGTTGGTAAAGACTAGTTTACGAACTTTCAAAAGAACAAGCAAGCCTGTCTTGGAGGAAGTGGAGCCAGAGTGCTCCTGAGAGAGGAAGACAGTGTAACTTTGTCTCACATACTTTGGGCAACTTGTCAGAGGGGCCAATACTTTGGAAGTGATACCATGTTTGAAATGTAGAGGGTTAGCAAAACAAATGAAGACCCACAATGAAGGAGATTGACACCGTGACTGCAGCAACAGGCTTGAACATGGCAGAGATGGTAAAGATGGTATAGAATTGGACAATGTTAGTCACAGGATTGATGTGAGACCTACCCAGCAGCATCTGGGTAAATCTTCATTTGCTAAAAACAAGCTTCTTTCAGTGATTTCTAATATCGAAAATATCCAAAATATTGGTAGGAAGTTGTGCTGCCACCTGACAGGTGAGTGTTGTGAATGTACCAGCTACTCCTCAGGAGAGAAAGATGGACGGCTTCCTCCCATCACATTTATAGCCTTTACAAACCTGCTGCAGGATCGGCTATGAGTGGGTTCTGACTCACCTCAAATCAATGCCTTTGAGTTTTGTTTGAGTACTTTCTTACCAATTTTACAACTTCTTTATTGTGTTGTGAAATACCAAGCATCCAAGTATATTCAAAGAAGCTGTAATATTTCATATGGTGTGAAGTATTGGGAGACAAGTTGAGCTGTAGTTACCACTCAATGGCATTCTTATGTAAAAAGATAAGGCTTTATGCTCCTAAGATTTACAGCTTCAGAAACCTTCTGGAGGGTCTCCATAAGTCAGAATTAGCTCAGTAACAGTAGATTTGATTTTTTGCTTTGAATGACGTAATTTTGAAAAATCTGGTATGAGTGATTTTTAAACAGAAAATCTGAAATCTGGTTTTCAATTTAAAAGTTTTAATAACAAAATGACATGTGGTCATTAAACTTCACTGCCCCCTTTCCTAAGTAATAGAAATACTGGAAGTGTGTTATGTTTCCTTCTAGACATTTTCCTATACATAAAAATGCACATGCAAATGCATTTTAAATTGTCCTATTTCTAAACTAATTCCCAAAAGATATTTCCAAGTTTTGTTCTTGTCAATACTGAATGAAAAGAACTTTTTATCTAGATCTTTTCCAGCAAGATAAAATTTCTATTTACGATTTTTAACAACCTGATAAAATGGAAATTTTATTCCTTTTTCTAATCATTACATTTATTGTATTATTTATAGGATTAAGTATATTTTCACATGCGTGCATAGTGACCATATCACTGTCTTCTTGCTTGTGAAATGCCTGATCTTCTTTTTTTCCTTCTTTATAAAAAAATAGCTTTTAACAGGGAGCTCTGGTAGCCTAGTTGCAAGAAGCTACACTGCAATCCCAGAGGTTCACAGATTGAATCCATCAGATGCTGTGCTGGAGAAGGAGAAACAATCTCCTTCTGTACCAGTCAGATCCGATTTGACGGTACACACACAAAAGAATAAAATTTTAAAAAATAAAAAAGGGCTTTTAACATATAATGGATACTCTATCAAGTACAATTCTGCCAAATAAGATGCAAATTCATCTCTCATATGAAAGAATCCTGAAACTGAACAGCTCAGAGTCAGAGATTAGCTTCATAAAGCCTCCTACTGAGTGTTCACATTAATTCTTTTGTATCATCTACTCCTCTCGTGGTCTAATAGGAAAGGACTGACAATCCAAATAATAGGTGGTTCAAATCCACCAACTGCTACAAGAGAGAAAGGTGAGCAGTTTCCTCTTACGTGATTTACAGCCTCTGAAAACCTGCTAGCAGTTCAGCTATGAGCCACATCTAACGTGGCACACAATAACAACAATAGCACTGTTCTGGAATACCTTTTAACCATTTTCAGGGTTTTCCCTTCAAGAGTATATTCAGAATACTTAGTGTTTATTCAATTTAAACACCTGGTTCTAATAGCTTGGACTGGGAATGTAAAAAAAGCCCTAGGAAAATCTGACCTATTTCCAGTTTTTTGTTCCTCTCATATTATGTTGCTTCTGAAAATGACTGCTACGGACAATTCCATGTGATTCTTTGCTGCTAGTGGAAGCATAATAGTCAGACAGGCAAGGGTTGCCATACAAAGCTTGTCTACTCCATTTACAGAGTGAACTGCACATGGTGGGTAAAAGCAGATTAACTTTAGCATGTTGGTTCCAAGGAGATGAAGCAACTTGATATTTTATTCCTGTTATCTCTCAAACGTGCAATGTCATATTTGAACATATTTAAAAAATCCAGTTTGGTCTAAGTCAAACCTTCAGCTTTTCTTTTATTTTAATATACCTATGTTATCTCTAGCTTGGGTCTGGCTCAGGCTGAAGAGCCTAGAAGAATGAAACCCTTCCTCCTGCAACTTCCTCAAAAAGGGGCGAGCAGCAAATTTATTCCTCGTCTGTAAATCTTTCTGGATGCCTGAACAATCAATCTCCATCTTCTCTTGGATAGCTTGGAAATGGACAGCGGGCCAAGGTTCATAGTACTGTTTGTGGACACTGGTCAACAAATGTCTGAGATGATCTGCTATCTCCTTGTACTGTGTGCAGTCCCTTGCATTCATTATTCTTGGATACACATTCGAATAGAAAAAGTCTAAGTTAACATCATCTTAAGTTGGCCTTGTAGCTACCTGGAAGCCCTTGGCCCTTGCAGCAGTGCAGTGGTGCCTGGGTCATTGGTGCCATTGCTAGTCCTGCAGTATTTCACAAAAGTGTTTAGATAAGTCAGTTCTATAACAGACCATCTCTGACTCCTCCATGCCGTGTGTGGGCTGAAACTCTCTGGTGCTCTTCTTTACCTCAGTATTTTTTAGTTCACATCTTGGCATGTGCACATATACAGATATTTTTTTCAAACACATCTTCACAAATTCAAGGTGTAAGAAGTAGATTTCTGACATCAGTCATGTACTGGTGGCATTAAGACTATTGTAGCAGAAAGGCCTAACACTTAAACAGAAAGAGCATAGGTGATTTAAAGGACAAAGGAGTGATTTTTGTTTATTGTGTTTTCTTAGGATAGCAGTGTAGATTTGTGCAGCAGCTTTTCTCATAGAGGTAATTTGGGGACCAAAGTTTCTTCAAACTTGTCTGGCCACTTTCTAGGACACTATTATTTACTATACTGTTGGTACAGACTTGCAATCTCAAGTAGGTGAAAATGGCAGGTTGTGGAAATAAAACATGAAAGTCTGTGTCTCCAGACCAGAAAGTATATAGATCTCTTATGTTCACTTAGCATTACTGAGAAGTTGATCATATTCTAATTATGAGGAAGGCTGGGAAATAGAGTCTAGTTTAGCAATCATGCACCTGGACACAATTCTATTACTGTAGAAATTTTAGAGAAGTAACTAGCATTCTCTACTACATTTTACCCCTTTAGCCATCCGGGTATCTGTTACCCCTTTAGCCCTCCAGGTATCTGTATGATTCCCTTCTTCTCACATGCAAATTTACTCGCTCACCCTCCAAGCAAAGAATTCAGATGTATCCAACTAAAAAATCAATTACCTCTCACTGATGTACAGTCTTCTCCATTAGGTCCACTTTTGGCTCATACTTGTTATAGCTATAAGCTATGTGTTTATGAGACCTTCCAATACCAACAAACAGTAGAGACACAGGACTATTGTTGTTAAGCACCTTTGTGTAAATTACAATTCACAGCGATCCCATAACAACAGATGTAAACACTTGTGCTGTCTTGCACCACTTCTATTCATAGGACTTTCAAGGGAGCATTAATTCAGAAGTAGGTGACCACTCCTACTGCAAATCTATCTAAGTCTGGAAAGTGCTGAAACCTGTCCATTGTGGATGACCATTTTGGTATTTGAAATGCTGATGGTATTGCTTCCAATATCTCAGCAAAACACAAGCCATCACACTATGTAAAATTGGCACATGAATGGTGGGTATCTTAAGCCCATTTAAAAGCAGAACTTTAAGTATTATAGTGAGAAGGGGGAAAGAAGGGAAATCCAAGTTTTCTATAAACTTTCATTATAATCTCAATTTTAAAAAAATATGAAAAGATAATAGCCACAGTCTGATTTTTGCCTCAGTATAGTTCTCTTTGGGAGGAGTAGGATGGTAGGTGTGAAGGAGAAGCTACAGCA